AGAAATGACACACAAGAATTTACGTGGTTCACCCAATTTGGCTACGTCCACGGGCAAGTATAGAAGGATTTTACTAAGTAATGTGGGAATACAACTTCTCTCTAATAATAGGAGAACAACAAAAATCTCTCTATTATTAGGAGAAAACACCTCACTTACTATCTCACAAATACCTCACAATTTTGTGGGATTATTCTCTCCTCACCCTTTCTTCTTTCTCTCTTGTGGTGTGTCTATAATGCTTGAATGTATTGTCTATTTATAGGCAAATATCCATGCAAAAGACAAGAGCAAGGTAGGTGGCACCAAATTTATATCTAACATTGTTGACAAATTGGTGACTAACATTATTGATTTTGTCAACAATATTAAGGTGATTTCACAGGTACCGCCCCTGAACGGAGCATCAAGGCATGCTAGGCTCTCATTAGAATTACAAGTGACGGGCCTTTTTACCTGGAAGAACGAGGCTGAGTTTGGCGTTGTTGTCGACGATTTATATTACATACGAAGTTAGATGAAAAAGTTGCTTCCGAACTGAGCACCAAAGTTTCGCGATGCACTCGAAAGTTCAAAAAGTACATGTCTTTTTTATCTCCTCTGTTTTGTTTATTATATCCTGAGATAGTGACCAAAAAATACAATCTTAAAGTATTTACCGATAGAAAACTACTCAAATTAAATTGATCATCACAATAAATACCAGCAATTAGAAACTAAACTGTTTTGAGAAACCATAAAAAGAAACTTGCTTGAACAAAAAGAATAAAAAACAAACCTTATTCCTGGTATTCTTTTTCTCTTGTGCCTCCACTATCAATCTTGCCACCTCCACCACCATTTTTTAGTGTAACAAGGCTTCCTACAAAAATCTCAGTTGCAACCACCCCTGGAGCCCCATGAATCTTGACAAGCTCGGATTTTCTCATCCTCGAATCACACCAAACAAATAATGTATTATCCAATCCCAAGAGAACTTTGTCCTCACTCTTTGAATAAGCTAAAGTTCTAACATAAAAGTTATATCGATCCACTTGCAGCTCTGAAACAACAGTAGACAACTTACTCCAAGAGTCCTTCATAGCCCATATCTGCACACGAGAACAGATCTGAGCACAAAGCAAACACAAGCAACCTCCTAGAACCCCCAAATCAAAATAATCATGCTCATTGGCCAAAAAATCTACAGCTTTCACTATAATCCTAAAACCTTCAACTCCAAAACCAAATGCAACAATCATAGTAGGCGAACGGTCTCGTCTTAATATTTCAGTACTTGCTGTCCACTGAACAGCACTGTTAGCAAACACACCATATATACTCCCCTTTATTAGCACGGTGATACGCAGGCTGGAAAATAGCATAATAATTAGGGTATCGCTTAATTCTTTATCAAGAATTAGACTTCATCAAACTATAAACTTTAACCTCAGAAAAGAAACACCTGTCAATAGTAGTACCATAATAGTCAACAATCTTCACAACTTTATAGTCTTCATTAATGGGATCGTACCCAAATCCATAAAGAGTTGGTTCCCAACGAAATTTGTCATTTTCCTTACTGCTAGCTAGGTATGCGCAACTCAAACAGTGTAGAGGGTAGTATTTTGTATTCTCTTGTACACGAGTTATACATGGCAATAGTCTTCTTCTTATCAGAACGTAACCAAGCAAGCAGTCCATTACAAGAGCCTAGCTAGCTATTACTTCAATATTCTAGTTTTTGTTACTTGCAAATAGTTCCATGGAATTAGTGGGAATTGGCTTGTCTAAGTCCACATTGTATAACTTGGTGGAACTTCTATCCCAAGGATGAGCCCTAGATTGGTACGCGCTTGTGTTAACTTTTGCAGATGCATGTTGATGAAATATGGACTTTCGGTTTCGTTGCACCATGATTTTGATACGCACCTGAAACGTTTGAGAGTTTTAACCGGTAGCCTGCTTAGAATATCTGTTATTATCTCTACTGGTATGAGCATCCTTTTAATGGTAGTGTCTTTATTTTTTTGTTTAGGTTCTTGTATATCAGAGGAGAATATTAAAGGTTTCTTCACATCTAAATAAATCAAGAATTTATAGAAGTTTTGATTTTAATTAAACTAATGGGCTTAAAATTTGTTGATTGATGGGACATATATTTTTAATAATGTATAATTGTGATTGTTTTTTAAAATATATTTTATATAAAAATAATATTTTATTATTTTAAAAAAATTATTTTTGATATTAACATATTAAAATAATTTAAAAATATTAAAAAAACATTAATTTAAAATAAAAAATAAAAAAATAAAATTATTAATTTAAAATAAAAAATAAAAAAATAAAATTATTAATTTAAAATAAAAAATAAAAAAATAAAATTATTAATTTAAAATAAAAAATAAAAAAAAAAATCAAATTTTTTCATCAAAAACAAATTAAACCTCCCAATTTGAAAACACGATTTAAACTATATTCCATTAAAATTTAAATTTTTTTATATTTTTAAATTATTTTGATATAATAATAATATTAAAAATAATTTTTTAAAATATTATTTTAATATATTTCTTAAAAAAAAAAAACCTTTAAACTATAATCACTATTTCATTTTTAAAAACTCAACATGCTTAAATCATTTTACGTGAGTTAGCCCAAGACCTGACCTGCATTGGGGTTGGAAAAAGAGAGTACTGAGAAATAAAGGAATACTGGGAAAGGAAGATGCAACACTAAATAGATAGTAAATTCTCCAACATCAATCCTCAGTTGAAGTTTAATCGTTGAATATGTTTTACAACTCAGAGATTTCATCCATACAATACAATAAAGCCATCCAACTTACACAAAACATATGACCGACCATACTGACTAGATAGAAGGAGTCTTCAACATCTTGAGGCTTGATCTTAAGAAATTACATTACTTTCAGGCAATCAACTCACGAGATCTGATATTTACAGTAAATCTCTGTCATCACAATCCTTTCTAGCATGGTAGCTTTACCATACATTTATGATGCCTGATTTTTATTTTTATTTTTAAAAACAATTTGGCACTAATAGGTTTAACACTAAGAGCAAGCATTGGCTAAATGTACAGACAGACAAGGCTCATAACTCTGAACCAAATTGCGTTGTTGCAACCCAAGCACGTTCAACCCAATATATCAGCCCATCTTTCCCTGCAAAACAAATAACCAGGTTGATCTTCCAGTGATCACATTGCTTTATCAGAACTAAATTCAATTCATCAGCATGTTATCATCTTTCCATATCAACCAGGAAAAAGAGCTTGCATTCATGCGTAGTGCTAGCCAAATGAAGAGAGCATAAAATATCTCACTGTAAAAGTAGTCATCATTAAAGACTTCTCAGATTCTAACAGCTTACTTTTGTCTTCCTTAATTTCTCTTCTCCCACACCAAACCTTGAAGCTAAATCATGATGGCAGAATAATAATGAATCTTTAAAAGTTAATTTCAGAACTCAGAGAACATTTATACACCAGAAAAATTCCAGAACTGCAATCAGCTCAACTGTATTCACTCTATGAAGACAGGAAAGCATAAGCTTCTCCAAGTCCATGGACCATAATTAAGCTTCTGGTTCAGATGGAGATATTGATGAACTAGCCATGCCACATCACTCACCAGCCAAACCACTCAAATATTAGGTTGCTAACTACAACTGTTAAGTGCTCAATCTTCTAGCATTGCAGAAAGACTTAACAAAGTTAAACAATCTAAAATATCAAAATATTCAAAGCCAAACATATGAAAATCTGGAGGGAAAAACCAAAACCTTGGAACTGACATATGGAACAGCAGATCTCCAGAATTGCTAACTATATTACAACAAGGACTAGATGTTTTTAGTCTTGTCCCTTGTTCATCAAAAACCAACTAGGTTCCAGATATGGACATTAATTTTGCGAGGAGAGATTTTATTTATTTTTAAAAAACAAACTAGTTGGAGGAATTTGGTGCCTGCAGGAATTCATCAAAATCCCCGAGGAATGGAGTTATTCCTCCCATATCCATATGAAGCCATTCTGGAAAAACCAGAATTTAGCAACAAGCTCCAGAGGCCCTGGTGATCATTTAGTTTCCATCATTGAGGAAAACAACTTCTAGGACCTTGTAGAGCTAAGAGGATTAGGTAAATATCATATAGAGTCACGACCACAAACACCTAAAGGTACTACCAGTTACATAACATCCTATTTGATTGAAGTCTACACACCCTATGCTACTTGCAGAAAATAATACATGGACAGTATATAGCCTCAATTAGACAATACCTGACCAAGTACCTTTTCATTAAGAAAGACGCATGTGAGTGCATGACATATATAATGAGCACAGTTTTTATCCATTCTTTGCTTCATCTGCAAAATTTCTCATATGCTCAATTAAATCTCCCTCCGCCAGTATCAGCCCTGAGAGAAATAAAGGCAGCAAAGGACAGAGAAGGTAAAATAAAACTTGTGTTGAAAAAAAATTGGAAAGTCCCCTAAAATGCACAAACAAGCAGCCTCTTATTTCATTAATTCGTAATATATACCATCCCATCCCAATTTTCAAATAATCTGCAAGTAAAACTAAGCAACTGACAAGCATTTTAGAATCTAGTGAGCTTCATGTCAACTGATATAGTTTAATGCAGCAAAATTACCTCTTTTCCATGTTTTCTCTGCTGTTTCTTCTGGTGAATTATAAGACCAATTTGAACCCTTCAGACAAGAAATCATCCCTGATAACAAAATCCAAGCCAAAATAACAAGTTACGTCAAGTGAGCTAAAGATAGACATGAAAAATGGAAGCATAAAATTCGGCACTGCATACCTCTTATTCCTATCCTTCGAGTCCTCATCTTCATCATGTGTCCTTCCATCAAGATGCCTATTCGGATTGACAGAAATTAGGCTTTCAACAGAAGTATCTGCTTCAAAGGAATATGGTATACCAGGAATCCTATTCTTTACTTGTTTCCTCTTCAGATCATACCAGCAAAGGTCCAAATTGTCATGTTCGATGAGAACTTCATCACCACTCTTTGAATAAGCTAAAGGCTTAAGAGATCTAAGAAACCCAATGACCTCATACTGTGCAACTGAAAACAGTTTAGTCCAGGACTCCTTTACCCCGTACTCTTTCATCATCCACACATCAACACGTTCGCCTAGAAAATTTGCAAGAAAACACAGGCATCCTCTCAAAACCCCCAAATCAATATAAAAATTCTTATCCTTGTACTCAGGTTGCAGCACCTCCCTATAATCCTCAACTCCTAAATCCAATGCAACAACTATATTTGCCACATTCGATTCAGGATTCTCACCCACAACCCAATGTAAAGCACCATTAGCGAAAACCCCATTTGCACCAGGATAGTGAACACAATAAGGCATATCACCAATCCTCCTCCACGATTGTTTCCTCAAACTATATACCTTAACCTCAGACTCAAAACTCCTCTTCCCCCCACCTCCAAATTGCGCAATCCTAACAAGCTTATAATCATCCCTGACACTATCATACCCAAATCCAAACACATAAACACTACAAGACTTGGTCCCAAAATACCTTTTCAGCTCAAGAGGCAAAAAGGGCACCACGCGATGCTTTCTAGTTGATGGGTTCCACACAGCAATATCATCAACAACATTAGAAATGCAAAGCAACCCATTAACAGAACCTAAAACTTTAATCCCATGATTATAACACATCAAAGGATGATTCAACTCTTTCAGAGTAACACAGTCATTTAAGACTAAATTTTGCTCAAAATCCATGTAGTGAACATGTGAAGTAGTTCTAAGGATGATGTAAAGATTGGAACTTGTGTCCATAGAGTGCTTCAAATGTAATTTAACGAAGTTTGGACCATCAATTAAAGCACACCATGGTTTAGATACAGACCTGCAACAAAGAAGTTCCTTTGCTGGTAATCTGCAGAGGATTTCCGCTATCATCTCAAGAGGAAGACCAGACATGGTTATGATGACTGATGAGAACTCGAAGGTCACTGTTAGCTAAGGTCTTCGCGTTCCGTGGAATTTTGTCATAGAAAGTGCGAAGGAGAGATAACGTTGTTAGAAGTTAAATATCTGTCTTTGTTAATACAATAAATTACCTAAACATCAAGGGTAGTCATGTCTCAGGAAAAAAATCAAGGGTAGTTATTTCTGAAAAGAAAACATAAGGGTAGTGATTGTTAACTGTTATTTGGACAGTAAAGAGCAGCTTCGTCACATTGATTCACTTTTGTCAAATGAAGAAAATCTTTTGGTATCTAATGTTTCATTACTATTACATTTAGTCCTTTTCCTTGCATAAATTAGCACAACGATTCTATTTCAACTTTATTGGTCATGGGAAGGAATCAATAACGCTATGTCAACAAGAATAAATGGTAGAAAAGATGAAGATATTACCAGAGCTATGAAATCAGCCCGATTGGTCAATTTAATAACATATTAATTTAGAGTTTAACTCGAGATTAATTTTATATTAAATTATTTTTTTAATCAAAATAATATTATTTTCAAGTTTTTTTTATAAAAAAAAACAATAGCTTGGATTGATCGACCCACTGTCAACTCTACTTCCTTGGTGCCAAGTTTAGGTCTTGATCTTCATGTCTCCTCTTACATCAAGAACAAGAAGAAACAACAGAGACGAAAACCATGGAGT